GGAAGGATGAGAGAGAGAGAGAGAGAGAGAGAGAGAAAGAGAGAGAGAGATACATCAATTGGTTGCCTCCCACATGACCCTGACTGGGGCCAGGGATCAAACCTGCAACCCAGGTATGTACATGTCCTTGACCAGAATCAAACCCATGACCCTTTGGTCCGAGGGCCAATGATCTGACCACTGAGCAAAAACGGCCAGGTTTTTTAAAAAAAATTTGTTATTGTTGTTAATCCTCACCTGAGGATATTTTCCCATTGATTTTCAGAGAGAGTAGAAGGGAGGGAGGGAGGGAGGAAGGGAGGGACACATCGATTGTCACTGAGCAGCTCTTGATAGCAGAAGAAACCCCCTCCCTGCCTCTGTCTGATGCGCCTATTTCTGCCCTCATCGAAAACTTTTCTATGACCTCACCTGAGATAGTTTCCTTACAAGTGAATGCCAATTCTATTTATACCCTTTCTATCTCCTCTCATTACACCAGACATATGAGTGGAGTCATATAGTCCCATGTCTTAGGGGACCAATTACAAAGTCAAATCTTTTTTTTTTTTTAATATTTTTTCTTGATTGATGTTTTAGAGAGAGGAAGGGAGAGGGAGAGAAACATTGATGAGAGAGAACATCGATTAGCTGCCTCCTACATGCCCCTCACTGGGGATTTAGCCCACAGCCTGGGCATGTGCCCTGACCAGGAATCAAACCAGCAACCTCTTAGTGCATAAATCGATGCTCAACCACTGAGCCACATTGGCTGGGCACAAAGTCAAATCTTAATAAAAGAATTGCAAGAATTTGCTAATTTACTTCAACAAGATATGGATAATACATGTGAAGATGGGGTTTAAGAAATTAGAGACACAATTTACAATGGCCTAAATTTATTTAATTTTAGAGGATCTAAATTCTTGTTTGGTTGATTGAAACCTGGTGTGGTTTATGTTACATGAAGTTGAGGTATCAGACACTCTTTGTTATGACAGAAAAATTAAAAGATTTTGGTATTTTGTAGTGGATTTATCATTCACTCCTTTTTTACTGTTATCTTTTTAACTTAACATTATTTTTATTTTTTTATCTTTATTGTTGAAAGTATTACAGATGTCCCCTCTTTTTTCCCCCACTGGCCCCCTTCTCCCCCTTCCCATCCCCCTTAATTCAATAAGTCAAGAAATCTCAAAGAACATTCCCTTCATTATAGTGTAGAAAAACACACTGGTGAGGAGAGCCTTATATTTTTAAAAGGAACCATAGTAGCTGTCTTCTGTAGGCTGAGGATGAGGTGAAATATTCTGCTACTGAAATGCATTCCTTAATTTCAATGGAGATAATCATATTCAGAGTGGCAGAGGCCATAGAAAGAGAAAGATGAACATGGATGGCTACTGTAATAGGTAGCAGGGCTAGATGGTAAAATAAACTAGAACTACCATATGACCCAATAATCCCACTTCTAGGTATGTATCTGAAAGAGATAAAATCCCTATCTTGAAGAGGTATCTCTTCAGTAAAGCCTCTTGTTCATTGCAGCATTATTCACACTTGACAAGACATGAAAATAACCTAAGTGTACACTGATGTCAGTGGATAAAGAAAATGATATGTGTAATTATGCAAGGTGGTAGATAACTGATCTTATTGTGGTAATCATTTTATAATATATATATGCATCAAATCATCATGTTGTACACCTTAAACTTACATAATATTATATGTCAATTATATCTCAATAAAGCTTGGGAAAAACAAATAATGGTGAGCACCTAATATGGTAACATAACCTGAGCATAACAGCCAGCCACCTGGCAGCTGACTGATTTTATTGGATCCCTGCCAGTGTAGTGCCCATACTAAAATAGACATTTATTTTAAATATGAATTTGTCTCTCTTACTCATATTGTTTCTGCTACAAACACCATCCTTGAACTTACTGGATACCTTATTCCTGGTCATGATATTCTGCAGAACACTTTCTGGCTGAGAAAGAAACAAGGCAAAGAGCAGGTACATATAGAAATTAGTGGTTTTATCATGTACCTCATCACCCAGCAACAGCTGAGCTTATAGAATGATTAAGTGGTCAATTAAAACTCAGTTACTGAACCAGTTGGGAGACAAGGGGGTTAGAAAAGGAAGGGGGTTGGTGCTATACATGCTCTTCAGTAGTAACTAACAAACAGTGCTCTTTCTCCTAGTCAGATGACATGGTTCTGAGAATCAAAGGGCTGAAAGTGGTAGTGTTACTTTTCAATATTACATCCAATGGCCCACTTGTAAAATGTTTGTTCCTTGTTACTTCAATTTTTGGTTCTATTGATTTAGAGGTCTTAGTACCAAAGGAACTGATGTTTCCACCACTGGACAAAAAAAGAGTTCCACTAAACTGAAAGTTGAAACTGTCATCTAGCCATTTTGTGCTCCTTAAGCACCTGGATTAATAGGACAAAGAGGAGGTTACTGTTTGGCTGGGGATTATCAAAAGAAAATATTATTATCAAAAAGATATAGGAGCCCTAGCCGGTTTGGCTCAGCAGTTAGAGTGTCAACCTGCGGTCCAGAGAGACCTGGGTTTAGTTCCCACTAAGGGCGCGTACCTCAGTTGGCAGTTTGTCCCCGGCCCTGGTTGGTCGTGCAGGTGGCAGCCACTCGATGTGTCCCTTTCAAGTCGATGTATTTCTCTCTCTCTCCCTCCCACTCTACCTGAACAAAAAATAGAAAAATGTCCTCAGGTGAGGATTAAAAAAAAAGATATAGAAACACTGCTAAAAAACAGAGTGAGAGAATATGTCTGGAACACAAGCAATCTTCTGGGACACTTAATTTTTAAAAAAGTGTTCTTATTGATTTTTATTTATTTATTTTAAAAAATATTTTTATTGATTTTTAGATAGAGTGGAAGGGACAGGGAGAGAGACAGAAATATAAATGATAGAGAAACATCAGTCAGCTGCCTCCTGCATGCCCCCTACTGGGAACTGAGCCCTGCAACCCACGCACGTGCCCTGACTGGAAATCAAACCAGTGACTTCTCCATGCATGGATTGACACTAAACCAACTGAGCCACACTGGCCAGGTCTCTGGAACACTTATTAAGAATGACATATCTAGCCCTGGCAGGTATGGCTCAGTGGTTGGAGCATTGGTCGTGCACCAAAGGGTCTTGAATTTGATTTTGGTCAAGGGCACATACCTGGGCTGCAGGTTCTATCCCTGGGGCCAGGGCATGTGCAAGAGGCAACCAATTAATGTGTCTCTCTCACATTTATGTCTGTCTGTCTGTCTGTCTCTCCCCCTCCCTCCCTTCCACTCTGTCTAAAAATCAATGGAAAAATATCCTCAAGTGAGGACTAAAAATATATATATATAAATAGGATAAACACATGGTTTGTATATGTATTATTATTATTTTTTATCCTCACCCGAGGACATTTTTTGCATTTATCTTCAGATAGAGCAGGAGGTAGAGAGGGAGTAAGAGAGAGAAACATCCATGTGAGAGAGCCACATCCACTGGTTGCCACCCACACGACACCAACAGGGGCTGAGGAGGAACTGCAATCGAGGTAGTGCACTTGGCAGGAACTGGACTTGGGAGTCTCTGGTCCTCCGGCTGATGCTCCAACCGCTGAGCCAAACCGGCCAGGGCTGCATATGTATTATATGCTGTATACTTACACATATTATGTATACTTACAAAGTAAGCTACAGAAAAGAAACTGTTAATAAAATTATAAGAAAAAACACATATACAATATTTATTGAAAAAAATCAGCATATACGTGGACCTGCACAGTTCAGACCCTTGTTGTTCAAGGGTCAACTGTACTCATAGTCCATTGAGAGGTGTTCAAAGGAGTCCTGATGCTTTGGGCTCCAGACCACATTCTACCTTTATAGTTTTGCCAGGATTGAGTCATTCATACATCCTTGGTAATGCCCCTAAAATCACCCCACCAATGTTGATTCAGTATCATTAACAATTTATCTCTGCTATTGTGAGTAATACCATGAAGAATATTTGCTGGATTCCACTTTAATTATGGCCATCTTCCTAAGCACCTACGGATTCTTTAATTTGCCATTCATTTTATAGGGGTTCCTGAAATGATCAGGAAATCTTTATTTCTAAAGCATTTCAAAGTCAGTGACTAACACAAAAACATATGTACTATTAGAACAAATATTTAGCTGATAGGTCCAGGCAATTACTGGACTTACAGGAGACCTGGGATGGCATTGACTCAGCCAGCCATTTATCAGGTAAGAGGCTTTGGCCAAGTTATTTTCTGAGCCTTCTTCAAATATAAAATGATGATAACATTTGTCTCACAGAACTGCAAACATTTAGTGAGTTACTGCATAATAATCAAAGAATAATACCCACCACTAAGTCCTTCAAATTGGTTATTTCCTTTGATTAACACAACCATCCTATTCAACGGCCCATTATCCTCATTTGATAGAGGCTCAGTCGCACCTCTTGTAAGTGGTGATGCCAAAATCCAAACTCCCATCGTTCTGATACCAGTGCCCACTCCTTACTTAACTTCTCTACTGCCCTTGTTAGGTTCAAGAGTCCATCATACAACCTGTCACACCTTAAATACTCAACCTTTAAAAATTAATAATGTGCCAGTTTGACTGTCATAGTTCTGCCTTAGGGCCTGCTCTCCCCTCGGTGCAGGGGCAAAATTCAGTTCTGGCCCAGCCCAGCCGAAGACTAAATTCTCCCCTCCCGTGAGAGGAGCTCAGTCCGGGTTTATTGTGAGCTTACAGTACTGTGATCAAGATCCCAGTCGATGACGGGGACAAGGCGGTGGCGTCACCTGCCGCTCCCCGCCCCTTCCTCGGGCCTTCCCGCCGGCTCCCGCAGGGCTTCCTTAGCAACACGCGCGCTCACTCCCAGCCCCGCCCTGTCCCCGCGGCGCGGCGCGGGGCGCGAGGCGGTGGCGGTGTTTGCGCCTGCGTGAGGCCGCAACCGCCAGTCAGGTCTCTTCCCCACCCCTCCTCCCCTTTTCCCTCTCCCCCTCCTCCTCAGCCTCCGTGAGCGAGACACCAATATGGAGCCCGAGGACCTGCCGTGGCCCGGCGAGCTCGAGGAGGAGGAGGAGGAGGAAGGGGAGGAGGAGGAGGTGGCGGCGGAGAACTTGGATGAGGATGAGGTGGTGATGGTGGAGGACGTAGAGGAAGAGGAGCGGCGGGAATTGGACGCGGACTTCAACTTCGAGAGCCTGCCTCGGGAGAGTACGGACGACGAGGAGGTCGAGGAGGACGATGAGGCCAAGGCCTGGCTGCAGGCGCACCCCGGCGGGACTCAGCCTCCGCCGCTGCCGAAGCACCGCTACAGCGAGAGCGAGCGGACCGGCCCGGAGAAGGTGGGCCCGGCCGGCGGTGGGGGTGGGGCGCCGTCGGGGCGAGGTGGCGGGACGTCCCTGCCGACTCTGACCGCGCTGCCGCCGGCTCGCTGCCTGTCACCGTGCCTGACACAGGATAGGCGCGCGTTCTAAGGCTTGTAAGGGCCTTCTCGACTCTTGCCCAGGTTCTGGCTGACTACTGCAATCTCCCGTTCTTACTGGCCGAGACCGCCCTTGTTGCTCCCCCTCGGTGGGTCCCGGGCCTTTTGAATTATACCAGATGTCAACCTGGAGCCAGTATCCCCAGCTTGTGTTGTTAAAGAAAACTTCTGGGAGGAGGTGGGGCTTACCGCGTCCCGAAGGAGGGGGAAAGGGCGGTGTCTGAGTGAGAGGGTGGTTGCCCAGGGACTAGTTTGCTGGGGAGACAATTAGGAGATTAGTGTGGCTGAGTGCCTCCCGTCCCTGAGGGAGCAGCGTGGAATAGGAACACTGCGTGAGTAGTTGAGTCTCTGGAGCCTCCTCGCGGATTGTGCTGCTCAGGACCGTCGTCTGTAGCAGTCAAGGGGTCCCCAGCAGTTAGGAGGGGCTTGGAAATGCAGGAGGCTTTTGCCGCAGCTCTAGTCTGGGAAACTTCAGCGCAAGGTAATACGCAACGGGGAGAGAGCTGTTTTTATGGTTCGCACCTGAGGATTCTTTTGAAGATAATTGCATTTAATTGATTGCTTTTCAGGGAGAAAAGAGGTTTGCCATACAATTCGGATATCAAGCCACCATTTATTAAGTTTCTATTCTGTGCAACGTACATTGTGGGGACAAAAAGAAGCCTAGGGTTTATTGTTTAGGGACTGCCTTTAGACAAGATGTAAACTGCAGAGTGAAACAACAAAAATACAAGACACGGAAAAGACTGTATAGACCTGTGCTGTGTTCAGTCCAGTAGTCACTAGCCACGTGTAGCTCTATATCTTAATTAGTTAAAAGTAAATGAAGTTAAAAATTCAGTGCCTCTGTTGTACTAAGCACTTTCAAATGCTCAGTAGCTACACTTGACTAGTGGTTACCCTATTGGACAGTGCAGATATAGAATAGTTTCATCATGACAGAAAATTCTGTTGGTCAGTGATGCCATGGACTGTTGATCATTACGGAATAATAGTTGTTTCGCCTGGTAGATATTCCAGTGGGTCTTTAATTCATTAAGCATTCACCGTTGGCCATGCACTGTTCTGGATGCTAAGGAACCTTGGTGAACCCAAACAGTTTTGTTTTCTTCTTTTTTTTTTTTAATCCTCACCCAAGGATATTTTTCCATTGATTTTCAGATAGAATGGAAGGGAGGGGAGGAGGAATAGAGTGGGAAGGAGGGAGGGAGAGAGAAAAAGAGAGAAACATTGATGTGAGAGAGACATATCTATTGGTTGCCTCCTGAATGACCCTGACCAGGGCCACTGGCAACTGAGGTATGTGCCCTTGACTCTTTGGTCCAGATGGAATCCGAGACTCTTTGGTCCGATCTCTAACCGCTGAGCCAAACCGGCCAGGGCCAACACAGTTTTCTTTTTCTTTTTAGAGTATGTTTATTAAAGCTGGGGACAGTGAAACAAGGAAGGGTCTTACCAGGAGAGAGCCTAGATGGGGCTGCTTTGGCTCTCTCCAAATGTTATAGGAAAGAAATGAGCCTAGGTGGGGCTGCTTTGGCTCACTGGAAAGTCAGAGAAAAGGAGGCCTTGGAGACAGGTTTAAGGATTAGCTGGATGGAGTTGCTGCTGCCAGTTGCTCTCCTGGTTGCCGGTCATTGGGGACCCTTAGAGTTTAGGAGGTACAAAGCTGAGAGGAAAGAAAGGCATGGGCATGCTTCTTGGAGGGAGAGTGCCAATCCAAACATTTTTTATCTCTGTCTTCTACTGTTCAGTCTAAGAGGGAGGCAGACTAAATGTAGATGGTGCCATAAATAAAAGTAAAACTGGTATGTGCCCACATGCTTCGAAAGCATACAGTAACGGAATCTGACCTTGTCAGTGAGCTGGGGAAAGCTTCCCTGGGATATTATGATAGAGCTGAGGTCTGAAGACAGATTAAGGTTAGCTAGGAAAGGGAAGGTAAAGAACCTTCTAGTTGAGGGAAAGGCACATGAAAAGGTACTGTTGGTTAGAGAGAGCATGGCATTTTCAAGGAACCAAAGGGCAATGTGGGTTAAGCACAGACTTCAAGGCTTGTGTACAATGTGGAGGATTTGGAGACCTTTTCTCTGGAGCTTTGGGAAGTCATTGAAAATGTGTTTTGTTTTGTTTTTATCCTCACCCGAGGACATTTTTCCATTTTTTGTTCAGATAGAGTGGGAGGGAGGGAGAGGGAGAGAGAGAGAGAGAGAGAGAGAGAGAGAGAGAGAGAGAGAGAGAGAGAAACATCGACGGAGAGAGAGAGAGAGAGAGAGAGAAACATCGACATGAAAGGGACACATCGAGTGGCTGCCACCCGCACGACCAACCAGGGCCAGGGACAGACTGCTACCGAGGTACGTGCCCTTAGTGGGAACCGAACCCCGGGTCTCTCTGGACCTCAGGCCGACGCTCTAACCGCTGAGCCAAACTGGCCAGGGCTCATTGAGAATGTTTTAAACGTGTGTGTGTGTGTGTGTGTGTGTTGCAATGTATGATAAGGTTTGTGTTTTAGATAGATCACTTTATAACAGAGTAGAAAACAACCTTGACTGCAGAGCAGGATTGGGAGTAGCAATAATAGATTTGGGATGCTAATTAGGAGGCAATTGCAGTATTGCCAGGCATTCCCAGTGGGGGGCATGCAGGAGGCCACCAATTGATGTTCTCATTGATTTTTCTCTCTCTCCCTTCCTCTTTCTCTCTCTCTCTCTCTCTAAAAAATCAATAAAGAAAAAAAATTGTTGCCTTGACCTGTCTTTGTCAAATTTGGCATCAATATTATGCTTTCATACAAGGTATTGGGAAGATTTTTATTTTTCTATGCTCTGGAACAGTTTAATATATGACTTATTTCTTGCATGTTTGAAATTAATGAGTGAAATTACTTTGAGTCTGAATTGCTTTCAGGGTTATAGTCTATATAGACTCACTTTTCTTGAGTTAATTTTGGTAATTTATTTTTCTAGACAATTATTTCAGCAAGATTTTCTAGTTAATTATAATAGAGTGCTACATAGTATTTTTTATTTTTTTCAATTGCATCTGTGGTTATTTCCATTTCTCATTCCTGCTTTTGTACAATTATGCTTTATTTTTCTCTTGATCTGATAGCTAGGGATTTTTTTTTTTCATCCAAGGAAACAGCTCTTGGATTTAGGTTTTATTATATTTCTTTCCATCATTTCATTCATTATTTTAGTTTTCATCTTTTACTGTTTCCCTAGATTTATTTATTTTAATCCTCACCCAAGGATATTTTTTTTGTTTAACATCAAAGTGGGAGGGAGGGTGGGGTAGAGTGGGAGGAAGGGAGGGAGGGAGGGAGGGAGGGAGAGGGAAAGAGAGAGAAACATCCATATGAGAGAGACACATCAACTGGTTTGTCTCCCACATGACCTGACCAAGGCCGAGAGGAACCACAACCGAGGTATGGGCCCTTGACCGGAATCAAACCCATGACTCATTGGTCTGTGGGGCTGATGCTCTAACTGCTGAGCCAAACCAGCCAGGGCTGATTTTTTTAAAACAATATATTGAATGCTTAATTGACTTATTTAAAAACAGTTTTAATAGCTTTATTATGTACATTATTCATAAACCATACAATTTACCCTTAAAGTGCACAATTCAGTGGTTTTCAGCATATTCATAGATATATACAACCATTACCACAGTTGATTTTAAAACATTTTCATCACCCCAAAAAGAAGCCCCGTATACTTTAGCTGTCAGTGCCCTATCATTCCTCTAAGTAATGATTAGTCTTCTTTCTCTATAGATTTGTCTATTCTGGGTACTTAATATAAATAGAAACATATGTAGTCTTTTATGACTGGCTTCTTTCACTTGGCATATAGCATGCGTCATTCCTTTTTGTGGCTGAATAATATTCCATTGTTTGGATATACTACATTTGGTTTATCCATACATCAGTTGGTGGTCTTTTCCTTTTTTTTCCACCTTTTGGTTAATATGAACAATGCTGCTGTAAAACATTTGTGTATAAGTTTTTGTGTGGACATAATGGACATATGTTTTGTTTTGTTTTTCTTAAAGATTTTCTTTTATTCTTTACTGATTTTAGAGAGAGAGGAAGGGAGAGGGAGAGAGAGATGGAAACATCGATGAGAGAGAACATTGATTGGCTGCCTCCTGCATGCCCCCCACTGGGGATTTGACCCACAACTTGGGCATGTTCCCTGACTAGGAATTGAACTGGCGACCTTTTGCTGCGTGGGTCAATGCTCAACCACTGAGCCATACCGGCTGGGTTGGACATATGTTTTTATTTCTCTTGGATATATATCTAGGAATGGAATTGCTGGGACATATGGTAACTCTATTTTAATTTTTTAAGGAACTACCAGACTGTTTTCCAAAGTGGCTGTACCATTTTACATTCCCACAAACAATGCATAAAAGTTTATCTTGGGAATACATATGCAAATAATTAAAAAAAAAAACTAGGCAAATTAGTATATTTATGTTCCTATATCCAGCAACATATAAAATATTTATAACATTATGATGAAGTAAATTATCCTCAAAATGCACAACTGGCTTAACAACCCAATACCAATTAATATAATAAACCAATTAATAGAATAATTTGACAAAATCTAACACCCTTTTCAAAGTAAAACACTTAACAAACTAGGAATAAAAGAAAACTTCATCAATCGGATACAGCCATATATGAAAACCCCACAATTAACATCATACTTTTGGTGAATAACTGCATGCTTTCCCACTAAGATCAGGAATAGCACCAGGACATCCTCTCTCACCACTTCTATTCAATATTATACTAGGGGTTCTAGCCAGGGAAATTAGGCAAAAATAAATAAAATGCATCCAGAT